AAAAAAAAAAAAAAAAAAAAAAAAAAATTAATTGCGAGATATTCTCGTTAAGGGGCAACTGATAATGTTTTTTTTTCACGACATAACGACATTAGACTTTATGGGTACTGCTAACAAACAAATAAAAAATGGAGTCTACTTCTATATTGCGTGAGTTTACCTCAAAATACAGAAAAAAACGAAATATCGCAACTGAATTTGTACGAAATTTTTTTGGTCCTCCGAACGACTAGATTTTTCTCGAGCTCCGTATAGTTATTGAAGTACCGTCGAGGTGGCTCTGCATTACCTCCCTCAAAACGTAATCGTTTCGACCCGCCGAAAACTAAACTAGTTCCTGCCCGATTCCCCCCTTTGATTGCCCCAAAAGCCAAAATGAGGGCACTTAAAGTGCAGGTGGTGGGTTGGTATTGGTATACCCAACGCGGCTATACACGAAGAGATAACAGCACAGTCACACCAATGGACACAGAGGATGAGACAGTGTAGGCGGCCGGGGCGTTCGGAAGCTGCGAACTTGTCAAGGACAGCGTCACACGCCGCACTCCTCTGCTCGGCTCCTCGTGCGTATTGATCGCACAGGATCGTGTGTATAGGTACAGCACAGCAGGCCCTCTCGCACTATCCGCGCCCTGTACAGATACAGACGTTGTGCGCGAGTAGATGCTGTCGCAGCTGGTTCCATGTGTGCCGGAAGAGACGGGCAGGAGGAGTATACGCCTCGAGACGTCCACGATCCACACCAGCTCCTACCGAACGACGCCCGTACATACTTATTCGAGTGGCGGAAAATATGCGCCAGTATGTTCCCGACGATGCAACGCGCTCTCAATTGTACGGCCGTTGAGCAAAAGGACCTCCTGGGGCGCTCGCTAAAGTTTAATTGCCAACATTTCGATGGATTATTCCATTGAATCATCCGACATAACCGTATATTTAATATAGACAGGGAGTAGAGCATCATAAAATTTGACGGAGCACGGGGGGGGGGGGATAAATCATAAAGCGAGTTGGTAAAAGTAAAGACGGCAGTGTTATAACAACCATTGTGCCACGTAATCGGCTCGATCGTCGAACCCATCCGAGCCCCCCCGTTTGGTGTCTATAGAGTATACGTATAACGCCAATATTCGCAAAAGCGTCTCTCATCTCTATTACTTTTCACACGACAAATTGCCACCGCCGAATTTTCCCTGTCCCCCACCCCGCGAGCATAAATCGCGCGCTCGCGCCGATCCTTTTGAGTTCCAGCGGGGACAAAGGGAGGGTAAAAAAAGCAGTCCGAAAATTCTAAAGGGAAACCGAGCGCGAGAAAAGCGGCGCAGATACGTGTGTGCGCGCGTGAACACACAGGTGTGTGTGTGTACGCGATGGGCGGGGCTCCCGACAAAAGATAAGAAATAAGAGCGCGAGCGGGAGGGAAGAGATCGAATAAAAGATTTTCCTGCCTTTTATCCCGGAGAACAAGGGTTGGAGGGAAGAAAGAGCTACACCGGGGGAGATGGAGGGTGGATATGTTTCACCCGGGCGGAAGAAGAGGCGGAAAATTCAAACTCTGACGCACGACCGAGTACACCCTATACCTACCTATACGTGACTCAATTTTTCAATTGACAACCAGATGCAACATTACATGCTCGTACCACCGCGAGTACATAATATAAGTATTATTAATTTATGTTTGTCGCGGAGTGAAAGGATGGATTTGTTCGAGCATCCTGCGCCCCCCCCCCTCCAACACCTATATATATACTTTCGTGCTAATAATCGTACTGCAATCGAGTCGGATTTTTTCACGAGCGCAACTGAAATGTCAAAGTTTGAAAAGGCGTCCGTATATAGGCATACGTGTAGGCATTTCCTGGCGAGTCGCGCGAAAAAAAAATGTATCTCTAACGTGTATATAATAACGAGCTGTAGTGCCATATATATATATATGGTACACACAAGAGACGCCTTGTGCGTTGCTCGGCTCGAGTTATCGCCGTCGAGCAAACATGCTCTATCAGCAACCTCGCAGATTTTATCTGCAAGGCAAGACGCACGGGTATGTACATACCTGTATACTCTCGTTTTATATTTATGTCATATTACGGGGGACAGGCACGACAGGCTCGTGTAAATATATATACGGCAATGTTCGACGATACGTCCAAATGACATATACACGTGTACGTATATGTATTTTTGTACGGGGTGGTCTTTTTTTCGCCAATCGGCATCCATAATGTTTGTCCATCGCCCACACCGACGAGACATTGGCGGGGTTATTTATAAATCCATACGATAAAAATGTCTCTCTACTTATGAATACATGTGACAAAAGTATGTATATATATATATTAATATGGACCAAAGGGTGATGACTTACCGTCGTCGGTGGTAACGGATGATTGTTGAACGGGCGGCTGGGTGGCGGCAGGTGGGGCCGAGGTAGGTGGTTTCCTCGACGGTGAGGTCTTGCAGGCGGCCGTGGGAGGCTGCTTGAGTACGCCCGTGGGCACGAGGCCCTCGGGCGCGGGCTCGGCTTGGCCGGGGCCCGGTGCCAGCCTAACCAGGGTCCACTCGCAGTTGGTTCCACCCCCGTTCTCGAGCACCTCGACTTGCTGGCCCTTGGTCACGCTCAGCTCCCGCGAGCCCGGTGCCGCCGTGTGGTCCGCCAACACCCACGTCATCTCCGTCACGCCCGTCTGTCAACACAACCACGAAGATCCGATAAATATATACTGCACCGCAAATCACTCGTGTACGCATTTCTTCTTTTTCATCAATTAATCTTATATGTATATGTATCATCATGCATATTATGTACGGGTTTTACTCTCATTGAAATCTCGACTCCCACGGTTGGGACCTATATATATCGTGGGCGACACGGGACAATGGCCAAATGGTCGGAGCATTGATTAAATCCAAATGAATCCGAGGATAAGGGTGTATTCTCTTCTTTGGAGGTACGAACAATGAGGGCTTTTCCAATACAAAATCATTGGGGCCGATGTAGGTAACTCCATTGGACGGTGAATAATATGGAGTCTCGTAAGCTCTTTATACCATACGTATAATTATATACTACATGTGGATTCGTGCAATATACGACTACCATCGCAAAGTATTGCAACGTAACACCGGCGTTGTTACAAATTAATATATAGACGTAACGAGGGAAAGGATGAACCGCATGATTTCGAGTATTTGTATGGGTACCTTTACATGTGCACATAATTATACACTTGTGTTGGGGCTTCAGCTTATAAGTGAAAATTCAATTCCCTCGGCATGTAGCCTCGCCGGGCACAACTTTACGCAAATTCAAACAATTCAGCAACAAACTGCAGCACCGGGGCCCTAAATTTCCCGACCATGGCCCTGCACCCGTATAAATCAGCTTGAAAAGCCAACAGCACACAACTGCATGCACGTCGTGTATAGGCATGCCTGCTCTCCGACACGATTTATTTCTTCAACGTGCGCGCGATCAAGAATTTTCGCCCTCGCATTCCCAAGCGCCGTAACGTACTACATGTTACGGTAACTTTTATTTTAATAAAAAGCACCACTGCGTCAATCGTTGGACATTATTGTTTCACTCCCGCGATTGGCCTCCGCACCGGACCAACTATCTCAGATTTATCTTACACGTGGTCTATTTATTAATTATCCGAGGCAACGGGCTGACGTTAACTTATTGCACGTTATCTCGAAATCGCCTGCTTTTTCTATATCTGTTCATACATCGCGTTGTATACTTCTATTATTTGAGGTAAAGGGAAAAATGTCTATTTTTTTGTACGAGGTGGTACAAGATACGACCAAATATAATGACTATGATGATTCACGCTCTTTGACAAGCTAATTTTTTAAGAAAAATATTACATGCACTCGAGCTTTTCTATAACTAAAAAAGGAATACGAACTAACTCGCACTGTTGGAACTTTTCGATTGACTTCGTTAAATCCCACGTATATTCGCACAATTTGTTGGGTAATCAAGTCGATGATAATGCCATACCATCATGGTTTTACGATGTCATCGTTTTCTTGAGTGACATGTGCGTTTGTAATTTACTTGGTCTCGCGTGGATTGAAAAAAAAAAAAAAAAAAAAAAAAAAAAAAAAAAAAAAAAAATATTTTTATTTTTTTTTTTTTTGGGGGTTTTTTTTTTTTTTTTTTTTTTTTTTTTTTTTTTTTTTTTTTTTTTTATATACCCGCGGTGGCTTGCTGCAGGCGACGCCCTTGCACGAGCCTTGCACCTTTTTACAGGCTTACTGTGCCAACACCACCTAAGCTCGGGGCAAACCGATGCGATACACGTGCATAAATCTACTTACAAGCTTTGTCTTTGGAGGAATGATTACAATAATCCTCCTATTGGTTTTTCCAATCACATAATTACAATAGATACTGTGCATGGTTGATTATCTTCTCGTTTTTTGGGATCATCATGAACTCAACTGCCAAAAATGTTCAACCGCGCGACTCATAAATCCATGATAATCCGATACCCATCTCAGCAAAATCAAATATAAATATGACCTTCTTTTTATTGGTTCTGTGCCTTGAAAAAATTCTCTGGAGCACAGATGGCGACAATAATGTGTGCTGAAACTTTGAGGTAGTGGGAATACAGTAGCGCTTCAGCGAAAAGGGGCATCGCAGCAGCATAAATTTAAAAAAGGAAACGAGTGGCATTAAATTGATTTTTGTACGCCCCCCCCCCCCCCGATTTTAAGGGCTCTCTGAAACTAATTTGGAACGATTTTCCTTTTTTTTTCCTTTCTTTCGCTTTTGCTTTTTTAAGAACGATATAAATACACCCTGCAATGTATGGTTTCCTCCAAGAATCGTGACGGGTATATTCCTACGGTTTGCCAAAAAAAAAGAAAAGAAAAAGCTTCGATGGTATACTAACACCGATATGGAGAGAGGTATTTTTTTTTTTTTTTTTAAATAAAGACTCAATTACATGTGTAAACATCGGTAAATACAGCCTTTCCATACGTAAGTACTTATAATATAATACAACATGTGGGATAACGCAAGTCATCGATCATAGTTTCCAACGTCATGGTGTACCTATATCTTGACGTTGAAACGTACACCAAGCGCGAAAGGTTGAGGGTTTGCAGCCAAAGGAGGGTGAGCGAGAATGGGGGGAAAAAAAAAGAAGAGCCCAAGAGCACGAGAGCATCTGCAAGCTTATTTATAAACACACGGGTATATTATACAGCCAAGGTCGATTAGTCATTGAAAACGAAGCTCATGACCATAAAGAAAAAAAAAAAAAAAAAAAAAAAAAAAAAAAAAAAAAACCCACGGTGCGCNAAGTAGCGCAAAAATTTAGCAGGCAAAAAAAACAACAGTTTGTCATTAAGTAAGGAACAACAATTATAATGATAGTAGCAATAATAATAATAATAATTGTTATTATTATACAAATAGTAATAATAAACCCATAATAATAATAATAATAATAATACAAATAAGAAAACGAATATCGATAAAACATCAAAACTCTTACCAATACTGACACCCCTTAAAACATTTGATTCTGTCGAAAAGTTGTGTTAGATATTACTATGATATTAATTAAGTACTATTTGTTAAGAAAAAGAGAGCGAGAGAGACAGAAGGGATTAGAGATCAAACTGTCATCTATAGTTTGTAGGATTTTCGAAAATTTGAGTATTCTGATGGTTGGTGTGTTTGTATTGTGTATTTGAGCTTTTGAGAGCCAGCTTACAGTGGATCTTTGGTAAGTTCCTTTTGGTAGGCGATAGGCGACTGTATCGCTTTGAGAAAGTCGCGTTGCGTCTGTAGTATCGAGGTAATCGTATCGACCCATTCCTGGCGTCTCGGCAAATTATTTGCCGAGGTAGTGCTGCCGCTACCGCTGCCACTACTCGTGTCGTCGCTCGAGGTCGGGCAGCAGTTGCACGCGAAGCCGAGTCCAGGCTTGCGTGGATCCGTCGAGCGGATTATAAATTTCTCTGGGTCTTCCGGTGAATCCTCCAGACTCATTTTGTTCACCTGAGAAATAACAAAATTGATAGCGCATACAGATGACGAGGTCGACGTTTTTTGTACTCCGTTTTTTCCTTGTGTCTTTTTTTCTCTCGTCAAATTTGTACACAAAGTTATATTTCTATAAGGCGGCTGACGTGTATTGAGCTCAAAAAAGTTGAAAAAACTTACTTGCGAGCTTGATTTCATCTAAACTAAAAAAACGCCATTCATCTAAATCTCGTTAAAAGTTGTTTGAATCTTCGATAAAATTAAGTTTGAAATTATTTGACTCGAGTATGTTTTAAGAAAAATTGATTAGAGTTTAAGCTTGTGACAAGTTTTTTGTTCTCATATTTACATGGCAAGTAATAATCACCTGAATGTGAGCTTTGTATATGTAGGCGGGACTGGTGAATTGCGTTTTTTTACCGACCGCCTCACTGAAGATGATATTTTGCTCAAACAGGAACACTTGCCATTCCCTTCCCCGGCTTGGTAGCGACGATAGCTCGGCAACCATTAGCGGCCCGTGTAGTAACAGCTTACCTTGCGCGGTTATTTTTCCCTGCACATCATAATTCATCCATGTAGCATAAAATTATTTAAGCGCAAGTACGTTTACATACATCTATACAAAATGCAGTGTTTTGTGTTTTGGTTTTTTGAAAAATTTGTTTACAGAAATTTTATCCCAAAAAAAAAAAAAAAGTTCCTAGAATAATTATTTATTTTATCTAATCACATGTCAAGGTGATGGCACTTATCTTGTTTACGTGCACGTAGCAGCGAAAAGTCAAAAGGATCGAAAGAATGAAGGTACTAACGTCAAAGCCCTGCAATCTTCCAACGTCCATCATGTCGTTCGCGGCCTTGGGTATGACCCTCATGACGTGAGCCGCAGCTCTGAGGCCCTCGATCTCGGACTGGCGCTGCGTGCGCTCCGTAAGCCTGAGCGCCTCGCGCAACAGCAGTTGATACTTGGTAATCCTTTGAACCGGTTTGATCAACAGGTCGCAAAGCTGTAGCCGGTGGCCCAGCTTCTGTCTGAGTTCCTGTACGTTGGAAAAAACAATCCATATATAACGTATTGTTCGAGCGCGGCGTCGTTATCATGGTCGAGTTTTCACATTCCAGATGATTCACGCGTGATAATAAAAATTTATCGACAGCTATTACAAGCGTGCGGCTGGCAATGTATGCAGTAAGTCGTTACCATTAAATAAAGATTATAGTAGAGAAAGCAGGTTGTATAATGCGTATGGCGTGACAAGGTAAAAGCGCGTCGTCTTACCTCGAAGTACGTATCGCTGTACTCGGACACTATGTACTCAGATACGGGCTTGTTCTGACAGTAGACGACGTACATGTGCAGCTTTCTCTCGTAGCGCTTGAACAGGGGCCCCAGCTCCTCGGGCCGCTCGAGGCAGTGTTCCAGAGATTTCAAGAAGCAGCTGTAGGCAGAGCATCGTCACAATCGTTACTTTCACGGCACAACGCAAATAGTTAACAGAAAAAAGGTACTGACTCTCTGTGCCACTCGTAAATGGCCTCGATGTTGCCAAAGACCATCTTGTCCTTGCCGCCCTTCAAATCCTCGGGCAGAGGTATTTCGGTGGCGGGATTCCGCATGAGCGCCATGTAACCTTCGATAATTTGACGGAGATCGTTGACGTAGTCGCGCTCGGTGTCGACGAGCTCGCGAATGACAAACTGCCGCTTGGCCAGGGCCGTAGCCTCGGGGCCATCATCCCCCACGAGCGGCGGCGGAGGCGGTGGTGGCGGCAACGACTCCTCGGCATCCTGCGACGAGACAGCGCTGTTTGCCACTCCCGAGGGCGAGGGCGTGCTCGCGCTCGGCGAATCCACGCTCATCGCCGGCTGTGGCTGCTGCTGGAAGACGCTACTGCTGTTGCGCTCCCGTTTTTCCGTGTGCTGCTCCTAATCGGGTGGAACACCAAAAAATCGGTTAAATTGTCGAGCGGCCTCGGATGGATCGCCAATGTGTATACACGTACCATGCGCTCCTTGACGATCTGCTCGATCTCGGCGATGTCGGCACTCGTCGTCGTGCCCGCCGTGGCGTCGAGCGGCTTCATCGCTCCGGGCTCGCTCGCCTGCGAACAATCGAAACAACAGAAGCACGCTTTAATCGCGTCTAAAAGTGCCGTCGCGGTCAGCTTGGCCACCGGTACGATCGACGAAGATAACGACGCCACCGACGCCACCGAGCGTCTAGCGGAATCAACCGTACTATGCACGGAGGTTCGCATGTCGACCGCGCGAGCACCTCCTCGTTATCATCGATACAACTGCAATGCTGTGCGCCACAGCGTCTCTCTCACTACTTAATGCTTATCGGGCCAAGCTGGCCGACCAACTGACAACCTCTCCGTCTATACCTATACATTTACGGTCATTAAGCGGTGACCAATCCTGCATTCGGTTAACGACCGTGTATATGTGAGTATATAAGTATCATCGTGTGCTGGATATAAGTATACATTATATATATATGGTATACAAAGCCGGCCCGTGCCCGAGGATAATATATGGTTTTTCTGTTCTCCCTCCACAGTATTAAATAGTGAAACAACCGCCACAGTGATCATTGATAAATTACGATGATAAAAGGCCAGGTCGTGTGTGTGTATATAAAATGTACTCACGAGGAGTTTGCCGGGCAGCTCGTCGTCGGAGTTGGCGGGCGGGCCGGTAGCGAGCATGGGCTCGGCGATGGGCTTCATGGGCGGCGGGAGCTCGAGCTGCTCGTCCTCGGCGTCCTCGGCGCCGTTCTGCTGGCCCGAGCCGTTGTCCTCGGCGCCGCTGTCCACCGCACCAGGTGCCGGGGGTTCCTCGGCGTCGCTAGTCTGCCGGGGCGCCGGTGATGCCAAGCTCGTTGCTCTCGGGGCGGCTGTACCACTCGGGGCCGACTTTGATCCCGGGCCGGGTGGGGTCGCCAGACTGCCGGGGGCCTTGTCGCTCGAACCGGACGACGGCAGCTTGAACAGCTTGTCCAGGCCGCTGCTCTTCTTGGCCGAGCTCGGGGGCGGCGGGGGTGGGGGCGGCGGAGGCCGCTCCGACGACTTGTCGACCTTGCTCTGGCTCAGCTTTCGCAGAGGTGGCGGCAGCCACTTGCGCCTGTATTATAAGCGTTTTCAGACAAACAAATGACATTTCAGACGACCAAGTGCAGATTAGGGAAGGAGGGCGGGAGGGAATGCTCCAAATATTGACAGTACACGTGTTTTACAAGGGAGCGCCTATTATTTACGCATCAGGCAGAAAGATGGTGGGTGTACGATGATTGCACGCGTGCATTGCCGTGTTGGGTGTGATGGGTAAGACCGGCGAATATCGAGCACGTCGGTATCGAGTTTCCGCGTGACAGGACTGCCAAGTGCTCGGTCGTCGCACGCAGCTGTCACGAGCGCGTCTGCTCCCCGGCTTCTCGCTGGTCTAAAAATGGCCGTGGGGGTTACACTGCTCTTTATGTGTTCCGCGTATATTATGACGCGGGTGTATTTATTTGCGCAGTTCCTCGAAAAATTACTCGTTGCGTGGTTGGAAAAAAAAAAAAAAAAGTTATTTGAACTCGACGAATCTCCAGCAAGTTTCCGTTGAAAGAATAAGTATGACAAAGCTGAAAGGCGGATTTTTTCCTAATTGAGGAAAAATGACTTAAACACGATTTTTCTCGCTCGTCGCACGGCATAACCGACAAAATAACGCCCGAGATAATATAAGGCCTGCCATGCAGTTATTCCAAAGACATACAAAAACATTGTATTAATTATTTGTACAATCACGTAACAGGCACTTTTTACGGGATGGCTCACACGTGTACTTCTCATACGCAACAACTTGAGAGATCGAAACTACGTTGCAATTTCGGAATCCAAGGTGATCGATGCATTATTTTTTTTATCCGTGATTACTCATACGGGAGTTCAAATCCTGGCATTTGAATGGATTGCTATCGGTGCCATTTTTTTCAAAAATAAAAAATACAATACGCGCACAGTGCGAAATAACACGTTAAGTTGGACAAAAAGTGAACGCTGCTCGGTACAACGCTCTTGTTTGACGACGAAAATTCTCAAAGTATATATTATAATTTTACCGATTTGATCGGAGGGTTATTTTTTCATTCGCGAAAGAAAGGAAAAAGAATTTCATTTATTTCAATGGCCACGTATAAAAATATAGGCATCGCGTGTGATATCGGAAAACAATGTAAGAGAATTTCCAACGGCACCCCAGAATAGACCTGCTCTGCGTGTGTACGTACCCTACACCATACACATATGCAACGTGCAGGAAAATTCTATTAAAAAGGCCGGGGAGCAGTATAACAATCGTCTCTCTGAAATGGACGAGGCACCCTTCGAGCCGGAACAGCGGAGTTATTGGACCGGAAATTGAATTAAATCGTCCCGTCTTTTCGTTCGAGGCGACAAAAAACGAGGGAATATAATCTTTTCTTTCACCCGCGCACACTCGATCGCACAAGTTGGCGCGCGCATATAAGTATACAAATATGCGCATTATTATTTTTAGTATCACCCAACGAGCATCAATTTGCACGCATTGTCGGACGACATTATATTATTGCAGTTTTTCCTCCCCATTGTCACGGCTTTTTTTTTTTTTTTTTTTTTTTCTTCCTGCACGTACAGGTACGGGAGATACTCTTCGTGTATACTTGTACCCTTTGCGTGTTATTTTTTCTACCGTACAGAAGGCACACCTATATATGCGTCCCTCATCCGGGCTATAGGAGTGTATATCGCGCTCGGGCGTCTCTGGAGAGGAAATTACAGCTCGTGACGGCCAAGCGCTTTTTCTCGCTTTCTGCATCCTATGCGCGCGCGATGGCTGGACCGGAAGTGCAAAAAAGTATTTGGACCGATGCACGCGATACAGACGTTGGGACAAGTGAGAAACGGGATTTAAATGTTTACACCGGCATCGTTTGCAACGGGATTATATTGGAGCGGATGTGTGTCACGAGCAGCAGCAGCGCAAATGTGTGCCGTTGGTCTCCCGCAGTGGCAGTATTTTCGGCGCGGGAGGCCCCCCCGAAATCACACCGCTTTACTTTCGCGCTGCAGTTGACTCGCCGCGGCAGAGATGAATTCATTTTAACTTTTCGTTAACCCGATCCCATACGCCCTCGGGCGCACGTCTAATTGGAAAAGTTTTCAAATTTTTTTTGTCCCCCTCCAAGATTATGCACACCGTGAGAAAAGTAAACTTCTTTGCGTTTGATTCAGCGAGTTGAATGAAAAACTCTGCCGACCGGCGCGCCTAATTGGCGGAACGGGAGCGAGTGACTTTTTAGGTATATATCCGCAGCGCGCGTCGGTGGAGCTCCTCTCGACCGAGTAATTAATTGTATTCCGAAAATCTCTCGGTACAAATTCCCCTTGTTTTTTTTTGCTCTCTTGATTTAGCACTCGGTTCAGCGCTTCCACTTATTGTACTTTTGCAAGAGCGAGTTTTTTTTTTTTTTTTTTTTTTTTACCGCGGTTCCACACTGAGGTGCATAACGTGACGAGGGGAGGAGAAATGAAAATCACGCGTTGCACTGTACTTTAATGCGATCTACTCTCAAATTGGTCGCACGACGCAAACGAGCCATTTCATTTTTGCGAGCAAATAATTTTCCAGTTGGAAAACTAAATTTAAAAAGGTAAAATAATGTTACGCGAGCAACAACACGCGGGTATGCCGCGCCAAAAGATACAGCTCCCCTGTAAGAGTAGGTATGTGTACGACATTATATCAATATATGTATTATATTGTAACGAGCAACAGCGCGTTGGAGCGAAAAACTACAGTGAAAGTAAATATAGCACTGGAGGTGAAAATTACACGTGGTGATATATTATTGTGGACTTACCCGCTGAAGCCGCGTCTCTTGTTACCGGGAGAGCTTGTGTTGGCGGCTCCGCATCCGTCGCTCCCGATGATTTCTGAAACAGACAATGGCAGGGAGACGGTGAATTTTTGCATCTAAATCATCGATACAGTACGCGCGAGAAAGTAATTATTTTGGCTAATGCATACTATATACAGTGCGCGGCTCTTACTTAATTGTTATAAATACTGTGTTCTCGAAAAGTTTGGGATGTGTTGCACAAATTTAATGCCGAGACGCGAGAAACTGAGACTGAATTAAGAGGCCTCGTCGGCACTTGTTGGGGGATACGATGCGCGCTGCTCCATCGCGGAGTGGATAACGATGAGTCAATCGAGCATACCGTGCAACAAGTCGACTCGATTAGCGAGAATAGTGTATAAGGTATTGAAAATATTTTCTTGTTTGGTTTGGCTATCCGCGCCGTGTTTCCTTCTCGCGGCTCTCGCGCGCAATATATCCTTCATCCAAGTAGGCTAAACACACACACACATACGCACACGTAGTGGATACACCGAATGCGCGGAAAACACCTCCTCGAGGAGAATGTCAGAATTATAATCATGTTTTCTTTTAGATTAGGTGCAGTAACGTTGGCTTTTACTTTTACGCGATGAAGAAAAAAAAAAGAAAAAAAAAAGTTATGTACATTCACGGTTGCACGCAATGCCCTCGTTTAAACGAACAAATGAACAAACAGAGTCACGTACACGCATGTCTTTCAAATGCACATGGTTTGAAACGTAAATTCACGTTACCTTTAATTTAATTTTTTTTTCTTCCCATGGTGTAAAAATAAAGGATTTAACTGGATCTTGTATGTATTGAGTATGTAAATAATCTACCATCGATTCACTGACAGAGTATACCATCAGAAACGAGCGCGTACGAAGGGAAACCGGCAAAACGCGTGCCACAACAAAAGCAATAGTATCCGGTTAGCCCGCAAGAATTGAGCTCAGGCCTCGTTTTGATATTCATCACCACCGCGTCGTCGGGTAGTATTTAATAAAACGCGACGTGCACGCGAGCATACGTTTAATATATTTGCAATTAGTCAAGTCGCTCACGCGGGGCTAAGCTTCGCTACGCCCACCCGTAATTCGATAAAGTCTCGAACAATATGGCGAGCAGAAAGAAGATTCTTTTGTCTCTGTTTTCCCATCCGGATTTTCTTGCCTTGCTTATCCAGCCTCCCTCGGAGCAAACTCCGTTATTCTCCCCGTCCGAAGGTAACCCCCCCCCTCCCTCTCTCGAGTGAATTTCGTTATCTTTTCCGTCATCCGTGATAACTCCTCTCGAGGCTGCTGCTTTCCTGCCGCTACTGCTCGCGTGTGTCTTATTTGCTTCCAGAAAAAGAGGAGAACAAAAATCTTCAAGTCAACCTACTTTTTCGCTTTACGCACACACACTCACTCGCTCTTTTTCCGATGGTAAAATAACGAGAGATAAAAGTGCCAGCAACAATAAGCTCGTTGCTTTTAATCGTGGTATATTTTACCTCGTCCCAACACATCCAAATGCCGAAAAGGTGTGTGGTATTGAAAAATTTTTTCCAAACGAGTCGAGGGTAAGTAAAAGCGTTGAGAGATGAAAAAAAAAAAAAAAAAGAAAGAAAGAAAAAAAATAGAGAGAAAGAAAAAGTAAAATATAACAAACGCGTCACGAAACGAAGACAAGCTCTCGTTGCGAAAAAAAAGCACTTCATTTCTAGATGGCAGGGATAATGTTCTGAAACCGACGTTGAAACGCTTATAATTTCAAGAAAGGATATAAAAAACTTGAGCTCGCAGAACCGAGAGGCAAATTCTTTTTTTTTTTTTTTTTTTTTTTTTATTGTGAGTATGTCAAACGTGGCGTAGAGAAAAAAGTAACGCACCAACAGAGCAGAAAACTACCGAGACGTTGAGCTTGCAATACCACCTGATAAATAATTTCTTTCCGAGCTCCTACACTTTCACACGTAGACGAACTGTTGTTGCGAGATAGTACAAGGAGATATTTTTGTCTTACGTAATCGCACTTTTCCTATGATTTGATTTCCAGTGAAGTTCCATTTATTTGATAGGTGCTGATCCGATGATGAAAATTTATAACGAAGCCTCGATTTTGCTAAAAGTGTACATAGGTGGGTACTACTAAAACTTGAAAAATCGGATAAAGACCATGGCGGGTCGTCGATATTCCAGACATGCACACGCGGATCATTTAAAAAGAATTTTGTAAAAAGGCGAGGAAAGATAAGCCAGAAAGCGACCGCTAGCTCCCTTCTCTGTGCGAACTATCGTACAGTACATCCACGTTTGCGAAGAAATAGTTTCGATTCTTCGGTATACTGTAGAAGCAGAAATGCGCGCTCAAGTAGAAATGCTTGAAAATTACATGAAGGTTTTGTTCTTGGTACACACGCTTTCTCAAATATTTCATTGTTTTACCGCGGTTGATAACGTAATTACGAAATGTTTACCAATAAATGTGTCGGTCGTCCGTTTCATCAAAATTTGAAGGCATGCGTATCACGAACTCAAGTAATTTTAACGATATAAAACCGCTTAAATATTGTTAATTAGTTGTTTTCTCGGTAAATGTTACGACCATAACGAAGCTGCCGAATAAATCGATACGTTCACAGATTTGTACGTTCCTCCAATCGCATTTTCTTTCATATCTGTGGAAAAATACACCTTAAGTTGACATTGACCATTTTAAAGGGTTACCAATGTATTATACGGTTACCTCATAAAGTTAACTCCGCTAATGCTTTATTCTTTAATTGAGAAATTTTTTAACAATAGTACAGTGAGAGATTTTTTTAGATTTAGAGTTAGATTTATTAGGCTAAGGGCCATAGTCCCAGAATAGCCTTGATAAGGTAAATACAAATGAGAGAGAGAGAGAGAGAGAGAGAGGGGGAAGAAAAGATGCGGCTTTCAGTGTTAAAGACTGATCGCAAAGTTAAAAGTAACCCATTTGAATAGCCTCTGTAGCCCCAATTGACACGGACGGACGATTGTGGGTCATTCGGTGAAAAATACAATTTCAATGTTAATTTAGTCATTAAAGTATTTAATTTTCATTGCGCGTATGAAAAAGGGAGAGATACAGGGACTTACTTAGTTTGATATTTAATTAGACTGAAAAGCGTCAATTAAAATGATAAAAGGTAGCAAGTAAGTAATTAAGCCTCGCGTGTCTTTTCCCTTAATAAATTTATCGATTTCACGGAGGCACTTACATTCATGACTGTTAAAGTAGGTGCGATAAAAGTAGTGCTCATTTTAAAGGCTGAACGAAAAAATAGTCACATTGAAAGAGTTGGCTGTCTGATCGTTGAAACCTCAAAATATCTTTGGAAAATAAAGTTTCATGGGGCCAACAAATTTTTCTCCAACCTAGTATGAAGCCAGCCAAAGGACCAATTTGAGAAATTAATTTTTATTAGCGGTCACCGTGCAAAAGAGAATAAGTAAATAAATAAAAAATGACGTTTAGCGTAGTGGCGAGAGTATGATTATTAATAGATAGCGTCAGGATAAGGGAAAGAAAATTCTCGAGAGCATTTGATAAAATTGGATCAGGTGATAGCTGTGATCCGCAGGATGGAGCTCTTATTTTATAGGTAAAAAGGGAAAAACGGCCAGGTAGTCGAGATGTTTGAAAAAAAGTTGCAGCACTAGCGATAAAAGTGAGAGGTAAATGTGGAGTCAACTTATCCGTTCACTCTTACTCCACGCCCATCAACGATTTATTTTTTATTATTTCCCTCTTTTTTTGCAAATAGCTTTTATACATTTAACTTTTTAAAGCATAAAATCTTTCAAGCCATATACAAACAACGATGTACCTATGCGCTAGTGGCGTGTATTATATTAATCTATTGCAAAATATACATTCTATGATGTATAATTATTATAAACTCGACACTCGACGCAGATCGAGAAAGTAGCTAATAAATAAAAGGTAACAATGGTGTATAGGGCGTTGGATGCACTACTTTTTAACCTGATGGTATCAGCGAATTGACCCCGTATCAAATGAAAATCCCGATGAATATTTACATTAAAAGCTGTATCGGTTGTGTTTATACATGTACTCTTGAGCTGCGCCGAGAAAATAATATTAAAACATGCACATGCATGCGTAGCATAGCACTCGTTGTAGATCTGCTGGGATCACATCATTTTATTACATTTTCATAGGAAAAGAACAAAATAATATTAAAGGAAAAATAAGGACAATCGATAGCTGAAACCCAAGCTTTGAAAACTCGTAGTATTTTCGAATGGAAACTATCAAGTATACACATATTGGTCATTCTAATTCTCAGAGCAATATTCGGATGGTTTTTGTTAAACGATTTCCGGGTATGGGCTTCCATCGACATTCAAATTTCAACTGCGGTTGTCTCTACACCGTCTAAAACGGGATTACCACCATGATCGCATATGTGTACATATATACACGAAAACGAGCATACATTTAATAGGTGTATATACGTATATAGTCGTCGTTATACCATTGCCACTTGTAATTTCCCCTGTTGCGCGTCCTTAATTTGAATTCGCGTTCGTGGCACCCCAACCATCGTCACCACCCACGTATATCATAATACGCGTAGATGTCATAGAGGGGGGTTCAGCTCTCCCCCTATGAGCACCAACGCCCTACACACTCGTGGTCGGTCTATGTAATTTGTGTTTGCATCTACATCGATGCCCGTGTTGCTAAATTACTTTCTTCGACTTTTTACCTTTACCTCATGTATAACCATTAGCGTGATTTTAATCCACAATAGCTCGATATTACGCATTTGTAACATTATATTGATCAACGTGATTTTACGTCAAAGTGCTATACATAGTTACGTATTTGCGAAGGTAGAATCAAAGTGTCAAAGGGGAGAGGGATGATCGTAAGCTCGGATTTTACGCGCCGCAGCGGTGCAGATGTGATAGAGACGAAATGACAACTGGCTCTATAAGAATGTTGTGACCAGAAACTGCTGTTGCTCTCTCGTACCGTATAACAGAGTGCGCATGTATATACCTACATCAGGCTTTCCTGTATCCATTGTGGTACACGCGCGTACATTACA